AGGAACCTTTATTGAAGTCATTCAACACAACAAATAACTTCTTGCAGTCGTCATGTCACTGCAAAACCAAAGGCAAAAGGTTTATTTTGAAGAGTTCTTATTTTGCAATGTTGCTTTCTTCACTGTCTTATGTAATTTTAGGCAGCGGTCACTAGAGGGGACAGTAGCCTCACTTGTCATGCACTTGAACTGTGGGATTTCTGAAATAGCAACTGAAATAATTTTTTTGCAGTTGTTTCATGGTACAGAAATCTGGTTTACTTTCAGTTCTGGGACTTTGCATTTCACTTTATTTATTTTTTGAATGCATTTCTTTATTTTTTAGGAACGTACTACAGATTGATGGGCCTTATAATGAATCATTCTATGAGAAGTTACTAGATCGCTCAAGTGAGGATGATGGAACTATAGCGTATGCATTGACAAAGGTACCTACCTTATTTTGACATCTCATTTCTTGCTAAAGACACAGGAAGTTTAAAATGTAGCATAGTTAGTAACATATATTGTCCTTTGGAAAATAGAAAACAACACAGGATGCTTTGTTGAGCTATCATTCTCTATAAACACCAACACCAGTTATCTTCTTCAACAAAATGCTGTAGGATGAGGAAGAAATTAAAAGACCATCTAGGCATGTACTCTTGATTTTGTATTGTGTGTAATATTTTTATTTCTATTTCAATTTAATCCTATCCTTGGGAAAGCTTTTACTATATTTACTTTCAAATATTGGGTACTGTTTTGAGAATATAAATATATCAAGTAAAATTGAGATAGAAATACATTTAATATCCTCTATTCAAAAGAAGCAACATACTGAAACTTTTGAATTAAAACCAGATTTTTTCTCCATCTAATTAGTTTTTCCTAACTGAATTTACATTGTAGTTCTCTTGTAAATCCTTAAATAGGGAAATAGCCACACACACACACACACACACACACACACACACACACACACACACATATCAGTATATGTATACATATGTGCGTGTGCATGCAACTGGATAGTATAGTGGTTAGTGGCACCCTTTGATGTGGGAGACTGGAGTCCAAATCCCACCTGACATCTACCTTACCAGTCAGGGTTTTTGGGCAAAGACTCCCTAAAGCTTCACCTGTTTATCTCAAATATCAGAGTGACAAGAACTAGGAGAGTCATGCCGACTCAGATGTCACCCAGATTAACAAGGTCTGCAGTATCAGAGTCTGAAGGAGGAACTAGAGAGGATGTGGAAAATAGACACCAAAGGGGTCCCAGTGATAGTAGAAGCCCTCAGGATTGTGACTCCTAAGTGGGGAGAGTGGCTCCAACAGATCCAAGGGACGACTTCAGAGCTCTCTGTCTAGAAGAATGCAGTGCTAGGAACAGCTAAAATACTGCTCAAAACTCTCCAACACCCAAGTCTCTGGTAGATGATCTGAGATTGAGAAAGACACAAACCACCCATAAGGGTGAGAAGGGTTTTTTGTAGATGATGATGATGATGATGAGAGAGAGAGAGAGAGAGAGAGAGAGAGAGAGAGAGAGAGAGAGAGAGAGAGAGAGAGAGAGAGAGAGAGAGAGAGAGAGGGATGGATGTTTTTCAGTTCTTGTTGCTTGGTAGATGACTATAGACTTGATTTTTGTTACAGGTTCAGCAGTATAGAGTTGCAATGACAGCAAAGGACTGTTCCATAATGATTGTGCTTTCACCTTGTCAACAAGATGAATGGTAATGTCTAAGATAAATATTCTATTTAAAAAAACTCCCAATATTTATCTATATACAAGTATCAGTTCAGAAAGTGCTGTATTAGCATACTGCCTATATTGATTGTAATCCTCTGTATTCTCCATACAGGAAAGGTAGAAAATAAGTAACGTGAGTGAGTGAGGATTATTTCTCATGTCCTTTCCTCCCTGCAATATAGCAAGATTCCTGCCTACCGTCTGGGACTGAGCTGGCGTTAGAGTCCCTCAGGCTTATGGTTCTGGCATACTTCAGTCTGCCCTCTCTAATCCCGGGGTCAGAGGTAGTGGAGCATTTCACAGCCACCATGGCAGCTGTTGACCTGGACCAACTAATTCATGGCCCTACTCACACGGGGTCACAGGGATATTGGAATTTTGTGAGATTTAGCAATCTTTAAAATGATGGCCATGAAAAACTGCATTAATTTTAGCACGTAATAGAAGCCCTGGTTCTTGATGGCTGCCATATTTCAGTCATCTGATGCCTTAAGAGTTGCACAGTGGAAAGATGAACTTTCCTCAAAAACATTTTATCTGATATCTGGACAAAATGTGTGATTCTGCTGTGCAGCTTTTCAAGACGAAATATATAATTTTTGTATGCAATGTATAGTTTCACTTAAGGTCAGATGTTTCATTATCCAAACTGGGTAATGTCATCAGTGCTCGTGAGGATGTTGCCTAGTTTGGGTAATCAAAAGTCTTCAAGAAAACCATCAAGCTCAGAGAGCACCAAGGACCCCCTCATTTCAACCCTGAGTTACAAATATTCTCCTTCATTGGCATACATTTATAGTCCATTGCATACATAGATGTACGTTTTTATATCTGTGTCTAATAATCTGAAGGAAATGGAGGAAATATAAAACTAGAAAAGTTTATTTGCATTTTCAACTTTGATTTAAACATAAAAACATTATTGAAAATTAAGATTATTTTATATTTATTTCTAATGCTTCTATACTTCATTTGAAGAGGTTCCAAGTGGTGTACTAAAAGAGCAACAGTAACATAGTGCATATGCCATTGATATCTACAGTAAGCATTTATAAGAATTGAGCCATTTGTCTGTCAGAGTCAATAAAAGGAAAACCGATCAGCCTCTAAGAGCCTTCTGAAACAGGCAAGCTTTATCAAGCTTTCTGAAGGCCATGAGAGTGGGAGTCACCTTTTTCTTAAGAGGGAAAGAGACCCCGCTGTACTTGCTCTCATGCCCCTTCCTATTGAGCTGCACAGTAAGTAGGAACCTCATTTGGACAAAATCTGTCTGGAAAAGAGAAGTCCCCCCCCCAGTTTTAAGCCGTTTACAGCTTTATACTTGGAACATACCAGTAACCAATATAGCTCATAGCAGTGGTGTTATATTGCATACATGAGAAATGCTTGATTTTTCAATCTACTTTGTATTATTGCTACTACTGTAAATTTTAAAGTCCAGACATTCAAAACGTGGGAAGTACCTCTGGAATTGGTGTTAGCAGCCAAGTTGCTTTCTGGGAGTGTAATTATTAATTGTATGTTTTCAAACCGCTAAATTTTGGAAGCTCATATGAGAAGGAAAATTGGCATATGTCCTGTCCTGTATAACAGTAGCAGAGATAGTGTCTTTACTTTCCAAAGAACCTTAGCAACAGTCAATTCCAACATGAGAAATTCCAAGATATAATTTCAGTAATAGATGTAAAGCTATATACCCGTGTATGTTCCTGTGTTCATGAATGTCTAAGTCTTTATTCAGGTTTAGAATATAGATGCATTTATTAGAGAATCAGAATAACTTCATTTTTCCTAGGTTTTCAGTGACAAAATAAGCTATGTAAAATTGCTACTTTAAGATAAGCCTATGGTTAACCTCTCAGTGTAATTTACTCACAAAGCAGTACTGATGGTATAATCATTTAGGAAAGTTTGAAATAAAAAAGTGGTAGGAAAAGTTTCAAACAAATGTTTGCACCACATTTCCTACTGGAAAAGCTATATTTTACTTAAGACCACAAGTACTTTTAAAAAGCAACATCAGCTATAGCTTGTCATCATTAGGATGCAGATAGAGTTTTCATATATGAGGATAACAGTAAAAGTCAGATCCCTCTCTGGAATATCAAATAGTAATTATTATTCTTATTTAAATTTCAGCTCTGAGCAGAAGCCAGTGGTTGTAACATCAAAATCCAGATTCACCTTTTCAGTTTCTGTCCTGGATTTAGACCTGAAGCCATATGAAAGCATTCGTCATCAATATAAGCTTGATGGGAAGATAGTGAATTGTTATCTGAAAAGGACACAAGCCAAAGATGACTCAGTAATGTCAAATCTCTTAAAAGAAAATGAAGATTGCACACTAGTCCTCCATAAAATGTAACTGGCTAAATATTTAACACAGGAAAATTAAGTTATATTGTTTTTCTATTATTTTCAATTGTGCTTTCAATTTATCTGCCTTTCAGAAACACACGACCCCCCCCATTGCCTTGAAGAATGCATTTATTGTAAGAGAGCCATGTACTATTAGTTTGAATGAAATGACTATTCTGACTGTAGAAGAGAATTTGATTGTTCAAATGCAGAAAACCAGTATCCTTATTAAAATTCTAGATGCAGCTATAACTATATGTGAATTGCTGAGTATCACTTGTTTAAAATAAATAAGGTGATCTGATCAAATTCCAAAATTCTTGATTAGAAATAATTCTAGATACTTAACGCTTCTTAGACTGCTCCTTGCATATGTATTGTCTCTTATGTTCAAAGTGATCTTGTGTAGTTGTTCTCCGAATTGTTCAAAACCTATTAAAAAAATTTAATGTATAAAGAAAAATCCCCCTTTCTTAAATAATGATAAAAATAATAAAAGCAAATTATCTCCCTTATTAAACAAGGTTTTAGAAATCATATAATGTAAACAGTTACTATTACAATTAGCCATTTTCAGCAATTCTTTGCTACATATGCCTCATTAATATTTTGATGCCTCAATATCCTTTTCAGTTGTCTAAGCCATTCCGAGGCTTCAATGGGTAACAGTTGAGAAGTTCAAAATATTGCCTTGAATTTTCTCTGGTAATAATTTTTATTTTTCTGTCTGCATTTTTGCTTAGCTTCTCTTTAGACTTTCAACAGCAGCCATTTGCTTTTCTAGGGCATACAAGTTCAGTAGCAATTGGATTTTTTATCCTGAGCTCAACATTATTGAGGTATTAAATGTTCTCAGCAAAGGGAGATCTTTCTCTCTCTCTGTAGGGGATGTTAGGGTTTTTGGGAGTTTTTTTTTTTAACCACATCTTGCACACAAAAATAGAAAATATGCCTTAGATTTTGCAATGGAAGGCCTAGTCTTTCCCTGCTGTGCTGCGCAGTGGCAATTACATGTCATTTCTAATGCAGACTGTGTAATTAGTCCTCTGAATTCAGAATTTTGGGATACAGGTAACTACTTGTAGGTCATTTTAAAACAGGAAGAGAAATTCTAGATTGTCTAATGGTAAAAGTTAAATGTTTACATAAGTAGACAAAGGATTCTTACATGCTGTGAAAAACGTGAAACCAAAGCTGCTTCAGCTATTGAAAAATCGCTGGATTAGAGCCAAAGGTGTCTTGCACCAGAGAAAGCTGTACATCACCGGCTCTCTGAATTGTGTTAATGATGCAAATTCCTGTAGATGTGATTTTGGTAGGCTTGGCAGTAGGCAAGAAGAGTCTTTCTCCTGTCCCTGCGCTCCTTTATGTAAGAACCCCGAGTTCTGCAATTGCTTCTTTGACACCTACCACTTTTTATAGCCTGGCCTTTATTGGCACAACTTATCTTTTGACTGTAATGTATCATCACTAAAATATTTATGTCTGAAAGTATCCCTAAAGATCTCTAATGATATTTTTGTGTGGATTCCAGTTCATTTGCTATTATGATATTAAGTTTAATGTTAATATTTATGAGTATCACGAGTTCTGCTCCTAGATCTATTAATTTTTTAAAAAACCAACCCTGTATTTTGTGATATTTATTCATCTTAATTCTAAGATCTTGTCCTCCTGAGCTTGTGGGCTGCAAGTTAGTGGATGTCAGATAAGGGCATTTTTCTGGAATGTGATTTGAATCCAATAAATTAGTAATGCAGAATTAAATGAACACAACCTTTATTGGTAACTGTGAGTATTGCTAAAGTTGTTCAAAAATATTTTGTTGAAATATTCACATTATAATACAAAGTATTTTCCAGAAAAGCTACCATTCTTAAAGCAAATTAGTAGTAACTAGTAATATATGACACAAACAGCTGTGCAGCAATGGGCTTTTCATTTGGATAAGTATCACCTGCAATATGCAATCAGCAATCGATCAAAATCTACATACATCTAGAAAATGCATATGGGGCAAAATAAGCTAAAAACTTTGCATAGTGCTGTTTTGCTCACTGTTCTATGCAAGACTTTTGTGGCATTCCATGTGTGAATCCAAAACTTGCCTCCAGAAAACAAAATTTGTAATCTTGAATAGAAATTCTAGTTTTGGCAAACTTAAGATAGAACCATTTTGTGTTGGGCTGATATGGTAAGCTGCTAAGTTTAATTAAAGCTGCATTGGCAGATATAAAATGATGAGTGCTTATTAACCAAGGTTTTTAACTTAGATTGTTACATCTTACTGTCTATAACTAGGAAAGCATGGGATGCAAATATTGCTTAAAATGCTCAATTTGAGGCTTTGTATTTGAAAACTGATATAAACTTTGCTTTTTCTAAAAAAAACTATTACAGCACTTTAAAAGAACGGTGAAAACTTTACATAGCTACTTATCTGTTTGGGTCACATTAAAAAAAAATGGATCCTAAGAAATCTAAATATGGAAAAAAATACTGGAATATTTAGGCAAGTTATATGTAGATCGGTGCCATTATTTTTGCCCATTCTGTACTTATTCTTCATGAAGCATGTGGTTAATAAATTGCAGCTTATGCTTTGTAAATTAAAAAGTCTCATTTCTATTTTATGAGTATGATAAACCTGATTTGCCTTCAATCACTGTTTATGGAAGAAGAAGTAGGTATGCTGCTGTATGATGTTTCTGTAGTTTAATTTTAATTACTATCAAACTGTTCTCTATCATTATTCTAGAATCACTGTTACATATATACAGCTGTGAACTGAAACTGCCACTTTTTTTAGACTTGAATTTATCAGGCTGATCTGAGGAGATTTTAGGAACTGATGTAGAAGGGGAAAAACCACTTTGATTCAGAAAGTTAATTTTTTAATGAAATGCATTCTACTCGTATCTGATTTGATGTTTTGTATTTAAAAAGCTGTATTTATTTGTCATGACAATTTATATATATATGTGCCATAATTGTACAGATAGCATGTTTTATGGGTATGGTTTCTAAATGAAAAATAACTTAATGTTTATATTCAATAAAATGATAGATGCGTAACTGGTTTTCCTGGCACTCATTAGTCTTCGGAAATTAAATTGATCAGAGTTTCAATGGAGGCCTCTATCCCAATCACATGCAAGAGACTTCTGAAACCTTGTGGAGCATCTGATGCAAATTTGTCAGCTAGAGCGCCTATAAGAGGAGATGAAATAGAGAGTTAAAACTTATTTCAGATACAAATAGTCGAGCCCTGTTTTTTTAAACCATTGCTTTCTTCCTTGTCAGCAGTTGGTCTCAGAAATTACGTTGGAAAAGCCTAATTGCTACCCAGGTCTTAATGGATGCAGAGCTATTTGTCTACTGAGATTCTCATCCACGTCACAGTTGTCCCAAATGTGCTTTTTCAAGAGGTAATTTGAACTTTTCATTTTTCATCCAAGAAAGATAAAGGTTAACTCTTTTGAATACAACGAAGTCCACAGTCTGGACAGAGAAGACCACTAGTTTAAAAGAGGGGCCAAAGAGGCCACCCATATTAAAACTGAGCAGCCCTCTCTCAATAGAGGGCAAGGGATCTGACACCCCCTATCTCCTGTTTACAACACAGTCCTTTCAACAGTTCCAAGAAGATTCCACAACCATTTGCAGGTTGTTCAGATGATCCTGAGGGATCAGATAAACCAAGTGGCCCCAATGAGTTTCAGAGAGAGTGCTAATGATCAGATGACTGCAAGGAATATAAAATCTTCAATTTCCCCCTCCCTACCATTCAGTCAGAACTGAAGAAGCTTTGTGGATGAGAAGCAAAAGATCTTCAAGGAAAAAACAAAGTCCAGCTGCCTTTTGGAAAGCACCTTTGGGACATGCAGAGCTATACTTCTCTTTAATTGTCTCATGAAAATTGCCTCCTCTGGGCTGACAAGAATGAAAATGTTCAAGCCACTGGGACTATTTGATCTCTTTTTGTATTTTCTTTCTCCCAAAAGAAGAGACTGTTGAGTGGCAGTCAATAATGCAAGCATAGAAGATTGTCAAAATAAAAACAAAATTGAAAGAGATGATTGTGACAAAAGTTTACCTTGTAGTGGTATTTTGTTCAAAATATCCAAGAATGGTATAATGTTTCCTTTTTCATCTACCTGTATCTTCCAAACAATCATTAATTCAAATCTATAAAAGTCAGAAAACAATAATTAAAACAAAGTGCATAAAGAGAGAGAGGGGCATACTCTCATCAATAAAGTGAAGAAAATTAGCTGTATCAAGGACTTTTATTTTAAATACTTTCATCTCATGCAAAGGCAATTTGGAACTCGGTAGTACAAAATATAGTGTTTTGAATTCCTGGACTTGGTATGGTTTTCTGGTGGATGAAAACCCGAAAACTGTTGAAAATGCACAGTTTCTCAGATTTGGTGCAGCCATATTGGCTTTTTCTGATTTCCCTTGTTTTTTTTCCTAACAACGTTGTATCTAATAGGTAACTGGAAAGAAGTTGTGTGAAGGAGATTGGGATCTGCATCTGTGTCAGTACGAAAACTATGGCTACTCAACAGAATTGGACCAAATTTGAGGATGGGGTGGGGGAGGGGGAAAGAAAAGTCAACAAAAGGAAGAACAAATTCAAAAATGGGCCACATGAGGCTAGGCGCTCTGGAGAAAAATATTTCCTCCCAATTTTTTCTATGAGAGAGGCAGAGGTTCAGAATGTTGCCATCCAAGTTCCCCTTGTCATATGACCAGAGGAGCAGGAAAGCTACTCTGTCTTATCCTGTATTTCCTAATGCTTACATAGATACAACATAGGCATTTGGGGAAATAAAACAAATCTACAAGCTATGCTGTGCATCCTTTCCCTACCTTGTTTTCTTATTTGGATTGCGTCATTTTGCTTTAGGTTCATAGTTTTTTAGAACGCCCAACTATCATGAGCTCCTTTATCCATTCACTTTTCCTGCCATGGAATTATTTCTTTCAGTTTATTAAAATAAACTGCTGATTGTATTTATTGTTTTTGTGATTGTTTTTACTATTTTAATGTTTTTAATTGTTTTATAATTTTAGAACAATAAGCTGTCCAGAGTCACTTGTTTGAGTCAGCATGATATAGAAATTGAATAAATATACATAAAGAATACTTTTTTAAAAATCCAAGATATAATCTTTCCTTATGAATGATATCAAATCAAGGACAGCTGCTACTCTTATTGCATTCTTTCATGCTTTAAAGGAGAAATCAGGAATTTCTGGGAGGGCTTGGGAAAAATTGTCTCTTTACAGGAGCTGTAATAAAGCCCATTATGGCTTTTCAATATTTTAAGCTATACTACAGTTGATTAATATGAGGTCTGATATGTGCGTTTTATGGCTTGTAAGAGAACCTGGTTCTTAGCAAGGTTTACAATTATTCTTGCTTTCCCTTAAGTACATTGCTTTAATATCCTTAGGGTCTTTGAATGAGATAGGGTTTAAAGTGTGCACATATGTAAAATGTGCAACATATGTGTACATTTTAAATCCAAGAATACACTAAGGCAGAAGCTTATCTACCTCAAGGATAAAACATCCAGACACAAACTAAGCAATGTGGTATATGAAGCACAGTGCAGTGAGCCATGTGCAGATTTGTACATTGGGGAAACAAAACAATCACTTCATAAACACATGGCACAACATAGGAGAACAAACCCATCGGGACAAGATTCAGCAGTCCATCTGCATTTAAAAGATAAAAGCCACTCTTTTGAAGACAGCAAAGCCTACATTTTGGGCAAAGAGGACAACTGGTTTGAAAGAAGGGTCAAAGAGGCTATCTATGTCAAGACTGAACAGCCCTTTCTCAACAGAGGGGGGGGGGAATATGTCGTCATCTATCTCCAGTCTACCACACAGTTTTTTCAGCAGTTCCAAGAAGGCTCCACACCCATTTGTACTACTCAGGTGACCTTGAGGTAACACATAAACCTCCAAGTGGCCTCAATGACTCTCTTAAAAGAATGCAAATAACCAGCTCTCTGCAAGGAAGATAAATCCTTCCATTCCCCACCATCCAGTCAGAGCTGAAGAAGCTTCTTGGATGAGAAGTGAAATGTCTTCAAAGAAAAACAAGAAAGCCCAGTTGCCTCTTGAAAAAAAAGAAAAAAAGAAAAAGAAAAAAAACACCTTTGGAACACAGCTTCTATAGATATCTGCCACCACAAATCAATATGAATCAATTAAGCTGCCTTACTTGGAAAGTTGAGTGCTTCTTAAGAGCATGTAATCTCCATGTAATCCTTCAGGAAGTACAACAATATCTGGATACTTATTCTATTAAAACAAAAAAGAAATGGTATATTCTATACAAATATAAATTGGATACTACAAAAATTGCAACTTTTATAAGACATGCAGTTAATTAGTATGTACAATAAAGCTGATGAAATTTAACTTCTTAAGTAACAACTTTTATTGCATTGACAGCCCTATCATGATTGCATCAAAGTACGTATTAAGATTTTTGACTTATTTTTATAGCAATATTGGAACAATGATTCATCTCAGAATAACTGAAACAGGCTGATAAGTTTGTCACTTGACTTCTGATCATACTGGCTAGAGGAGCTGGTTGTAGACATACAGATAAGATTTTATTGCTGTTTCAAAAGGGATATAATCTACCTGTACTTATAACCACTCACTTTCCAGTTATCGATTGACTGATTATGTACCTTCAGATAATTGACTCTTGATGACCATATAGATAGATCTTCTCCATGACACATTCCAGTTAACATTCTAATAAAATTAATAGGATATATTTTGGTTGGTGGACACATCTGTAATTTTAAAAGCATAGAGTAGGCACTCTCACAAAAAAAGGCCCTGGATAGACTGGTGGATTCATCAAATAACTGGAATCATCTCACAAAATAACCCCTTTATAGAAAACCAACATTTCTAGTCCCCAAGATATGCTCTGAAGTTTACTATTTTTGTTATTATGAAAGGGGTACACATCTCTACACGAAGTGTGGAATTCTGGTGATCTCTTAGCTTAGTTGTTTGCTTGCACACATTTCATTACTGAACTAAATAATACCATCAGTACTGCCTGTTTGTAGGCAGTGGCTTGCCCTGCTAGTTTTGGTGGGAGTGTAATTTCTACCTTGATAGTTCCTTGATTAGACTATTATTTTCTGACTGAATTATTGTGTGCAGCAAAGCATACAGGCCTCTGATATAGAATAATTACCAGTATATATTATATGCATAATGTCATTTATAATTACAGTGGTCTGGATGAATACTTTCACTTAATTTAGAGTCAGGTTAAATTGAAGAGTATTTTGAGCTCAATTTAAAAAAACAGAACCAGGAATATTCCAATAGTGCTTAAAATATGTTGCCTAACTTGAGTATCAACGTATTAAAAAAAAATCAGCAATTTTTTCTAAAGTAAGGAAATTCAATCAGCTTGGGCGATTGCAACAAAGTAGCAATTAAAGGGAAAGCAACAGATTCCTTCTGTTCTTAAAATGGGTTAAGAAATAGCATGTTACAGACACCATATTTATTCTTGGTGTAGTTGAGGAAATGGAAAGTATGTTTAACTAGGCCAAAATGTTGTATCATTCAAAAATTCATTATTTTTCCAGAGACTGTAGAAAGCTAAGAATTTAAATAGATGTTCCTCAGATTTTAGAAACATTGCCATGACTGGAATTGGTTTTTGCCAAGCCTCACATAAGCAGTCACCCATGGTACATGCCAAAGCTAGCTTGCTGGGAGCAAATATACATCCATTTTGGTTTCTTCTTGTCATCCAAAACATTTTTCCTTGCTTACGTCTTTTTTTTTCTTCATGCAATTTATATAATGTAAATTATGTTTGGAACATAGTTAATGAGCAATTGCATAGCCCAGAGTTTTAAATACTTTCTTTAATTTCCAGATGCATGAAATGCATAGACTACAACAAACAAACAGTTCAGAAAAAAACAGTGCAACAAAGGTTAATATCATAATAGTCAGGTGCTAAAGGTAATCAAGATAATTCACAGGGGTGGTGATATTGGGAAGTTCGCAACCTTATTAATCTCATACAGGTCAAAGAAGAACATTGAAAAGCTTATGGTTGCAACTAGTAATCTTCTAACCATATTCAACTTGTATTCAATTTTATAAACAGTAAAATGAAACTGCCCATAGAAATAAAACTTTCATAGCATTCAAAATAACTGGGTTTGGCTAATAAAGCTGAGTCCCCAAGTTCCGCTTGTCTCTTCACAAATGAAAACAGGCTAAGATCCATTTCGGCCTATTATTCCCAATAGTTTGCTTGGTTCATGTATTTCTCAAGTATAGAAAAATAACTAATTAGATCACAACAGATCTAAGTGGGGATAAATGATGAATGCCTACAATGACCACTCTAAAAATGTGAGAAGCCTAATGGGCACTTCAAATAAGAACCGTTTACTGTAACTAATAGGGTTGCTATGCGTTATTTATAGTGCAAATACTACTACAATAGTGACCAAAATTGTGGAAACCTTTTGGGAAAAGTGTACATTTGAGATTTGATGGCTACTAACACCACTTTGTTTAGAAGTAATACCATAAAATTATATATCAATGGAAAGATAATTAATCAAGAATGTAATGAAACAAAGTTTGTTCAATTATCTGTATTGTATCAAAAACTATAGCCAAATAACCAGAAAAAGCATAACTTGCTTAGCTTTCCTTCATCTGATTGTAGCCAATGAGCATGAGTGTTTAGAGAGCCAATCAGGTGTCATCTTGTTTTGGCAATGAGCCAATCAGATCACAGTAGGATTCAGTTATTGATGTCATGCATTGAAGTTGAGAGGAGGACATTTGTCAGTGTGTTATGTGATTGCTATGAAGTTGGTTGGGGTTTTTTGTGTTCTTTCATTTGGTGAGCTTGTAAAACATAATAAAATTAAAGTAATAATGCAAAGAGTTGACTGGTCGCCCAGAAAGCGATGTAAAATAGTATTATTAAGTGAACAAGGCTACAGTTATAAAGAAATTAGAAGAAAAATTGGTGGAAACTTAACCAAAGATGGCATTTCTAAGTTTTTGAAGAGGTATAAGGAGATTCAGTTACTACAAAACTACACCGGTAAAGGCAGGAAAAGGTGCAAAACAGCAAGTGATGATAGAAGAATTAAGAGACTGTGCCTATGTGACAGAAGAAAATCATCTGGGTGTATACAAGATGAAATGGCACAATGCAATGTGAAGTTGAGTGCAAGGACTGTTCGGCGCAGACTGCAGGAATTTGGCCTAAAATCTAGAATTCCATGAAAAAAGCTATTTTTCTCTCTTAAACAAAGGTTGAAAAGACTAAACTTGGCTAAAACCCATTTTACCTGGACAGAGGAACAATGGGACAGTGTTATTTGGAGTGATGAGACTAAGATCTCCCTGTTTAATAGTGATGGCATAAAATATGTAAGGAGAAGAATTGGAGAAGATTTGCATCCTGATTGCATTACATGTACTGTGAAACACCCAGCCAGTGTTATGATCTGGGGTTGTATGACATCAAAAGGTGTGGGCAGAATTTGTGTGATTAATGGGAATATAAATGGCCAAAAATACATTAATGAAATACTTGAGCCCAAACTGAAGCCTTCCGCACATGATCTTTTCCAAGACAATGAAGCATTTATATTTCAACAGGATTAAGCTCCATATCATGTTGCTGCTGTGTGCAAAAAGTGGTTTCAAGATAATCATATTCCACTGCTGAATGGCCTGGGAATAGTCCAGACCTTAACCCAATTGAAAATCTATGAAGCCGACTAAAGAAACTTGTTAGTCAGAAGCGACCCAGCAATAAAACCCAGTTAATAGAAGCAATCATTCAATCTTGGTTTCACATTATAACAGCTGCAGAGCTAAAGGACTTGGTTCACTCCATGGGAAGACCCTGTAAGGCCGTAATTCATGCTAAAGATTACCCAACTAAGTATTAATTGGCATGGTGATAATTTTTGTATATCTTGTTTTTTCTATGGCAGGGGTGTCAAACTCAATTTTATTGAGGGCTGTATCAGCATTGCGATTGCCCTTGGGAGGTCCGGTGGGTGTGGCCAGGGTGGGTGCGGCCTACTGGGTGGGCGTGGATGGAGTGGGTGTGGCCGACTGAGTGCGCGTGGCCAGTTCTACATCGTTTGTGTCAAGCATGCCTGTGGGGGCCTGGACAGGAATGGGACAGATCTGAGGGTCTCTGGCAGAAGGGGGTAGGGCCAGGGCAAGTGCCAAGGCATGGTCCACTGGAGGAGCCTCACTGGTCCTCTCAGGCCATGTGGGCGGGCTGAATGGTGATGCGGGCTTCCCGGAACCCTGGGCAGCAGAGGTCAAATATCCATCCTGGCCCTTGAGCACCTGCAGCACCAAGCCCAGCCCCACTTCCCCAAGGGGGTGCCCAGCTGCATTTACCTCCTCCTCAAGGCTCCTGCTGCTGTGCTTACTCTCCTTACCCAGGTTGCTCATGATGGGTACGAGGGCAAAGTCAGAGGGAGGCCCATTCCATCTCCATGGGAGGAGACCTAGCTTTGTATCCAAAGCTTCCTTAGCAATAGGATAAGAGACCCGCAGAGTAGGTCAGGAGGAGGGGGCAAGAGGATGGTGAAAGGGTAGCTGGTCAGGACTAAGACAGGACTTCCCTTGGACACTCCCTCTCCTTTCCTTCTTTCTTTCCTTCCTTCCTAAGTACAGAGTGGTGGGGAAATATTTGAGATGAGGGAGGGAGAAAAACAGGCAAGAAACGCAGCTGGGGAGGTGTCACCCTTTGTGAGGAATGAAGAAATGCACCATTGCCTGGAAGTGGCCAGCACATGGCCCTCACCTACTTCACATATCTGGCTTGGTGGGCTCTGGGGGAGGGGATGCCATGAGCAGTGTGAGAGTCAATGTTACCTGCGCAATGCCGCCCAGCCTCCAGCCTGCCAGTTTCGGCAGGCAGCGAGGTGCTTTTCTCGCAGCACCGAGAGGCTAAGCCAGGCAGCGCAAATCCAAAAAGAAGCCCAACGCCGCCCAGCCCCCAGCCTGCCTGGTCTCGGTAGGCAGCGGGGCACTCTCCTCAGTGCCGAGAGGTTGAGCTGGGCAGAGGGAAGGTCACCAGCTTTGCACCTTGCTGCCTGCTGAAACTGGGCAGGCTGGAGGCTAAGCAGCATTGCACTTCTGCCCTGGAGCCCATCAAGCCGGATATGTGAAGTAGGCCAGGGCCATTTGCTGGCCACTTCCAGGCGATGGTGCATTTCTTCATTCCTGACAAAGGGTGACACCTCCCC